TTCATTAATGCTTGCACACACCACATACACACATCTTGAGCAGCTCTGGGATCTATGTGCTCTCTGTCACAGCTAAAGCTCTTTTTGCACCTTCCACACTTCAAAGGTAGTGACTCAAACAAATACTAAAACTTATGTGACCCCATTCTATCTCATACACACACACACACCTGCACATATACGGTACACACTCGACTTGAACAGGCAAATTTTTCAAATATTTGATTTAAAACCAGGGAGTGAAATGGAGGTTTAACAGAACTGACAGTTTTATTCATAGTTTTATCATTTTGAAGGAGTGTCTATTGATTACTGTTGCTTTGCTTCAGTTGTCAGTTATTGCTGTAATAGGGTTTTTTTCACAGCAGGAGAAAAAGATGAGGTATTTGGAGAATGAAAGAGACAAAGAGACAAAGAAGGGAGAAAGTAAAGTAACTCCACTCTGAGTCCATTAGTTGAACACTTCTCATTTATAAAAGATAGAGCATTAACAACTGCCTCCGGTCCTCACACTCTTCACTGCACTTACTCTTTTGTCTCTGCTATTGTTTACTGCCCATCATTGAAGCAGTGCATTAAAAATGCCAAACCATGATGCTGATTCCATATCTGTCTCAGTTCAGAGAAGACTGGACAGATTTTAGAATCCAGCTCACTATTTAGAGTTTTAAAAAGCAAAACCCCAACAGTTTAGGACTTTGAACAATTAACTAAATCTACAAGTTTCATTCTTTCTCTCTGATCTCTGATGTTTAAATATGTAGTGTACAGTTTCAAGTGTACAGTGTGTGTGTGTTCTTTGTAAGTGTTTGCAACCACCTTGCATCCCACAGGGAGCAAAGTAATGTAAAAAGCACAAGAGGAAGCAGCACATTTCTATCAGTGAGCTGCAAGATTAGACTGATCAAAGTTTATTTGAAGCCTGACTTCATGAAAAACACAGGATATAATGAGTTTTTTCATGTTGTGCTTCAGCATCACTTTCCTGAGTTTTTTTAGTGTAGTCTGGCGCTGGTGTGAAGTTATCAAGAGGGAAAAAGATGATGAAAAGTCTTCCTTCTGGTGATTTCAGAATATTGCACAGCTCTTATTTAATCAGTAAAAATATTAGTAGTAATATAAAACTATTAGTGCACAGTTGGCCCAGTAAAGTGGTTTTCAGAATTGGGTCTCTAACAAAATGAGGATTAATTTAATGTCGCTGCCTTTTAACTGACTAGATGTTTGCCCAGTGCAAAGATGAAGGGCCCACCTACAGCACAGACGTGGTATTTTGTATTAATTAACATCTAACTACAAAAATCTCCTCTGATTGAGCTCTATCAGACATGTGGGGTATAGCAGTGGCACTGGCCTTTCTTGTATGATATGCCCCTGTTCCACTGAGAGAGAAATAGAGCCAGAACATTCTGAGAAATGTGCAGTGTTCCTCCTCATCGCCTGTTGGATCCTGTTTCAGACTGCAATTATTTATAGACTGCAATAAATAGGTCATTTGATTATGAACCAGGCCGGCACAGAAAGGAGACAAATGCCACAGAAATGCAGTTGATGAGGCTATTTGTAACGCCGGGAAGTGGGAAATCGCAGCGTGAGACACTGTGCTCGTTAAAGATAGTCTACAGCTGTGGGACATATAGGAGTGCCTATGTAGCCAGGTCGAGTGAAGACTGACGAGCAATCTTATGAGACTTTGTACCCTACGGCCACGCGGCACCCGTACACAAACATACACCTTTTGAGGACGTCATATATTTTCCCACAGCTGCGCGTTCCTGTTTTAAATGTAGGTGAAAACTTCGTTATAGGTGAACGCACACGACACAAAACAACGGATTCTGTATCAGTATTAAGTTAATAGAGCCCAATTAGACGCAATCCTAACTTGCTATAACGTAAATATTTGGCTAAAATATTACGAAAAAGATTTTAAATCACTGACAGTTTCAGGATTTGAACCTGGCATCACGGTTGAACACTCAGCAAAATCACCTTAACCTATTAAGTTTCTCTCTCAGATATGAACTGAAACGTCCCTGTAGTAGGTTAATTGGGATCTGTGCACGATAGAGCACGTTCGTGAAACTTCACGCAGATCGAAGCACAAACGGATGACACCATTTTGGCCTTATTTTGCGTTGGGTGGGGGGCCAACTTCACGCAGATCGTAAGAGCAGCCATATTTCTGACCAGCGTAGCGCGTCCCCGTGCAGCGATGCGCTGTGTTTCTGAAGCAGCGTGAACGCGCCTATCTGAACTCCACACTCACTCGGATCTGTCTTTTTATGTATCTCACACACTCCCTCCTCTTTCACTCTCTCCAGCTGTATGTTCACACCACTGCCGAGCCGGAGCACATCCCCAGTCTAGCCGACACTGAGAGCTTGCTGCCGGGCGCCGGTGTAGTCCACCGAGCGGTGCCAGGATGCGGCGCCACAAGTTTTGGGGACCATGGTCTGTTGGATTTTATATTTGGGCGACCTTGCTTTTCAGAGGTAGGTTTTGAGCACGTCCTTTTGACGTCCGCGCCTAATTAGGCCTGCGTTTTGTTTTTTTGTTTGACTCTTTTAAGAAACAGTGAGTGCATGGGTCTGTTTATATAAATGAAGGTCATAAAGAACAATATTTGACTGTAATGAAAATTTTTTCCAAGGTTTAAGGTGTGTTTTTTGAGTTTGCATTTCCTTTTTTGCTAGCTTTAGTGTCCTTAAACTAATAACATGTGTGGTCATTGTATAATAATTGTCCTTTGCAGACACTAGCCTTTTAAAACCTGATTTGGTGAATTTAGGCTACTTTTGTTTATCATTGCACACATCATGATGAACAATACCAACTTGCCTTTTGTAGTGAGATGATAGGGATGCACTTTTAATGTTTATTCATGTTTTAATAATGTTTAAATGTAACGTAATGTTTAAGTGATGAAGCACAGGGGCCCCTGAAGCACTGAATCACTGTAATTAGTTTTGTAATGTCACCAGATGTTCTACTGAATTCCACTGGGTTCTGAGTATTGAGTGACAAATGTGAATTGGTTAAAGAAAAGAAGTCTCTTTTCTGCACCCTGAATGTATTTTTTGAAAATTTTGTTCCCTTAAAATTGTTGTATTACATTAAACACTCCATATGATATGTAGAATCAGTGCTTGCATGCCTCTAGTTCTCTCCTATGCCCCATGCCACTACCATCATCAACATCTGGGGTGTTTAAGTACCGGTTTGGGCCACAGCCGCTTTGCTAAAGATGCGGCTTTAAACCCTCTGAGTGGACTGTGTGTGTGTTCACACATTATGTGCATGTGTAACCATCAAGCTTTCCACGTTCCACTGTAATCACCTCTCCATACCAATCTAGACAATGGCCATCTTTGCTGTTTCATAGTGGTTGCTGCTGTCCAGTTTTAAAGTAGTGAAGGCACTAAGCCATACATGTACAGTATATAGCAATTTATCTAATTTAGCACTGAGTCTCAGTATCTTATGATTTTTGTCGTGGTGTGTCTCATCTTACTGTAAGAAGGAGAATAGAGGCTCATGAGGCTTTGGACATGGGGATTAAAGAGCCAGCAAGCCGCCTGTAAGCCTAGTATATTCACATTGACTGTGCCATTGATAAGCGGCTTTAGTCTGCCAAGGAAATCGCAAGACAAAAGCCACAACAGGCGATAAAGGATTATTTAGTTTCTTTGAAAATGAAGCATGATTGTGTAACAACTTGTGCTGCCCTCTGCCACACACAGTTGGTCTGGCTAAGTGCAATGCCTCATCTCTTTCTTTACACATTCCCACCTCCACTGCTCTTTAATCATAAAGCTTATGTAAACTGAAGTTGTTATGCCCTTGTTCAGAATTTCAGTGTTAAATGCTGCTATTCGTTCCATGGTAAAATTGTCAACAGGTATTGTTGTATTAAGTTACCTCAAATGTTCAAACCTGTGGGTCTCTATACTGGCACCCTCAACTAACATGTATAACAGTTTTAAAACTGAAATTCTGATAACCTGTTGATTAATTTAAGAAGTTCTGTATGTAAAATCATCCCTGTGGTCATCTTCACTGTCACTCATCTCTGCTCCACCCTACATTGTCTCTGTGACACTGCCCTTTTCTTTCATTATTGCTGACTTTATTACTTTTTGCCAATAATATGCTGCCATTCTCTTGCTTTGTGGCAACTCTAATTGTCTCATTTCGATGACTCTCTCTCCATCTCTCCCTGTTTTTGTCTGTATTTTGAAATCGGTAACCACCTAGGTTAAGGTGTACTTTTACAGCTGCTGAACATCTGGATACTTCAGTGCTGACCTCCCCTGACTGACTCATTTCCCTAATCACTGATAGTGAAATAGTTTCTAGACACCTCCGCAAGTGTAGATGTGACATTAATTTAAATCATTGCACAAATTTTAGAAGCTGATCTGTGTGTAGGCTACATGTGTGCATGCTAACAATAACATACACACTAAAAGACAAGCCCATACAAATATCCTCTTTAGTCTCCAGTCTTCCGGAGGACCCTCGTCTCTCACAAGCATGGATACAAGACAATGCATGCATGCATGCACACAGGCACGCTATACTGCAGCTCATCATACATTATAGTGTCACATATAATACACATTTGCAGGGACTTGTTGCCACACAAATTCAAGAATGATCAGTCTTGCAGTGACTACTGCACAGGTTCTGTGCTATCTGCAAGGAACATGCTTGATATCAGTGAGACACTGCTGATTGTGACATTCTGGTAAGTTGAAATTTCTGTGTTGTCAGTACATCATGGTACCAGAGTGCACGTTTAAAATGGGCTCTTATGTTTATAAAGAAGCTTGGACTGTGCTGGTTTCTCCAAGCTTGCTTGCTATTTTGGATGCTGCTGGTTGCTGCTATTGGTTGCTACCGTATGTGCAGCTGCAAAATGGTTTGCTGAGGTTGAATATAATCGGAGAGTACAGACATTAGTAAATTAACACTTAGGCAGTCACACCGCTGGTCTCATTGCTCTGAATCAGCTGTGCTAATCACAATGCTGCACAATGACAACGACTCAACACATGGAAATAGGCATCTCCAAAAAAATGTTATTCAGTTTTATTTGTATGGTGCCAAATCACAGCAAAGGTCATCTCAGGACACTTTACTAAGTAAGGTATAGACATTGTTATTATTATTGCTATTATAGAGGAAAATTCTAACAAATCCCCCTTGAGCAAGCTCTTGGCGACAGTGCCTGTGTGCTGCAGCACAGTCTAAACACACAGCACCTTAAATCTGCAGCCAGAGGCAGGTAGTGTTTTAGTATTTATTTATTTAACTTGAACACTGATAATGGAAATAGATAAAATGTTATTTTAGTTTTATTTCTTCTGTGTAACATAAATGCACTGTAAGATGTGACCCAACAGCATTTACACAGTAATGCATTTCAAGAAAGATTGCCACAACAAAAATTGTTGCCTTATCAA